GCCAAGCTACATAAAGATCTCCGAGGAACCAAGGAACAAGGACCTTCCCCCAGAGCTAATAGAGAGAAAACCTTCCTCTAGAGCTGGTGCCCTGAATTTGAACTTCTAGCCTCCTAAACTATGAGAAAATAAATTTCTATTTGTTAAAGCCACTCAGTTGTGGTATTTATGTTGTAGCAGCACTAGATAACTAAGACAGAATTCAGTACCAAAAAGTGGGGTACTGCTATAACAAATGCCTAAAATGTGGAAGTGGTTTTGGAATTGGGTAATGGGTGGAGGCTTGAAGAGTGTAAGAGTGCCTAATAGTAAAAGCCTAGATTGCCTTGAAGAGACTGTTGGTAAAATTATGGATATCAAAGGCAATTCTGGTGAGGGGTCACTCAGAAGGAAGTGAGGAGAGCCTTAGAGAAAGTCTCTATCACCTTAGAGAATACAAATGACGCCATCAACAGAATGTTGCTGGAAATGTGGATGTTAAATGTGCTTCTGGTGAAGTTTTGAAAGAAAATGATGAACATGTGATTGGACAATAGAGGAGGGATGATGCTTTTTATGCAGTGGCAAAGAACTTACCTGAATTATGTTAAAATGTTTGGTGGAAGGTAATAGTTGTAAGTGATGAACTTGGATATGTGGCTGAGGAGATTTCTAAGCAAGATCTTAAAGGGGCCCTGTAGTTTCTCCTTGCCAGTAACAGTAAAATGCAAGAGAAAAGAGATGGACTTAAAAATGAACTGTGCACACTAACTAGGTAGTAGACAAGAATTATCTTAGATGAAGAGAAGGACAGCACACACCACAGGGGAAGTCAGCACAACTGGACTAAACCAAAGCTAAGAAGTTTCCTCAATACAACCAAACACTTCAAGGGACAGAGTAGCAGGGGTCAGGGTCTGGGGACCATGGTTTCGGGACATCTAGGTCAATTGGCATAACAAAGTTTATTAAAATATTCTGCACCCCACTTTGGTGGGTGGCGTCTGGGGTCTTAAAAGCTAGTGAGCAGCCATCTAAGATGCATCAATTGGTCCCAATCCACCTAGAGTAAAGGAAAATGAAGAACACCAAAGACACAAGGAAAGTATTAGTCCAAGAGACAGAAAGGGTCACATAAACCACAGACTCCATCAGCCTGAGACCGGAAGAACTAGATGGTACCCGGCTGCCACCAATGACCACCCTGACAGGGAATATAACAGAGTCCATGAAGAAGCAGGAGAAAAGTGGGGTGCAGAACTCAAATCCTAGTAAAAATACCAGACTTAATGGTCTGACTGAGACTGGAGGGACCCCGGAAGACCTGGCCCCTGGACTCTCCATTAGCCGAAAACTAAAACCATTCCCGAAGCCAACTCTTCAGACAAAGATTAGACTGGACTATGGGATATAAAATGATACTCGTAAAGAGTGTGCTTCTTAGCTCAAGTAGATACATGAGACTAAATGAGCAGCTTCTGTCCAGAGGTGAGATGAGAAGGCAGAGAGGGTCAGGAGCTGGTTGAATGGACACAGGAAATGCGGGGTGGAAGGGAGGAATGTGCTGTCACAGTGTAGGGAGAGCAACTAGGGTCACATAACAATGTATGTATAAATTTTTATATGAGAGACCAACTTGAATTGTAAATGTTCACAACAATAAAAAAAAATGAACTGTGCAAAACAAAAACAGAACTTAAAGAGCTGGAAAATTCTGTTGTACAAATTAAGAACAACACATGTCCTAGACTCTTCACCAAGGATGTGGCTACACAATCTTTTGTTAAAGAGATTAAGTGTCTGACTGATGGATCTAACCAACTACCATGGCAGAAAATGCATCAGCTTAGACTGAAAGGGACAGAGATAGAATGAAAGGAAGGAAAGCTGTCTGCTTGTTGGAGTTCTACAGACAGAAAACAGGCCAAAGGAGCTACATCTGTTGTCCTCCAAGAAAAGAAAAGAAAATGACCATGCCTGGAGAAGTTTGAATTAGCAGAACCATTCAAAGGAGCACAGGAAGCAGGACTGTCTCAGTTTCAAAGGATGGAACCACAGCCTCCAGGTTTCAAAGAGTGGAGCCATACCCTCCTAAATTTCAGAAAGTCAGATCTTCGTCAGCTCAGTTCTGCAGTGTGGCGCTGCCATTCAGTTTGGCCTAGAGGATGGAGCTGCTGCCCAAAGCTGAGGGGGCGAGGCTGCTATGCCCAAGGGACAGAAGAACAGGGCATACCAGGGCTGTGGGGGTGAGGTCACCACTTGCATGGACTAGGAGAATGGGGCTGCCAAAAGCCCAGGGAGCAGAGTTTCTGTCCCAGTAGGCCTGGAAGGCAGGGCTGAAGCCCAGAGCAGAGGGGCCTCCACCCAGAATCTAGAGAGCATGGCCAACACCCAGAGTCTGGAGGGCAGGGCCATTGCCCAGATGGTCCTGGAGAACAGAGAATTATTTTTAAGCCTTGAGAGCTAATGTAATTTGTTCTACTGGGTTTTGGACTTGTTTGGTGTCCATTATCCCTTCTTTCCCTCCCATTTCTCCTATTAGTAAAGGAAATGTCTACCTTCTCCCTGTTCCACAATTGTACTTTGGGAGCAGATAACTTGTATTCTAGATTTCACAGATTCACAGATGAAGAGGAATTTTGTTCCAGGATGAAATATACTTAAAGTCTCACCCATATTTGATTTAGATGATTCAGAAGATGAGACTTTGGAGTTGGAGTTGGAGTTGATTTAAGACTTTTGGGATAATGTGATGGGGTGAATGTGTTTTGCATGTGGAAAGAACATAATTTTGGGGGGCTAAAGGGTGGTATGTTATAGATTGAGATGTGTCCTTCAAAAATGTAAATCCTAACCCCTATAGTGGTTATAATCCCATTTGGGAAGGGATTTTCTTTGCTATGTTAATGAGACAGTATTAGTGTAGAGTGTGTCTTGTGTCAATCTCTTTTGAGATATAATAGGAGTAGACTAACTGAGCAGATTAGCAGAACTCAGTTCCTTAGGGTTGTAGGACTGAAGTCCCCATTTTCTTGCTGACTATTGGCTGGGGACCTCTCCCAGGTCCTACAGGCTTCTCTCCAGTTCTTGGACCGTGGCCCTCTCCACCTCAGCAAAGGATAACCTCCCTGATGTCAGATCCTTCTCATGCTTTGAATCTCTGACTTCCTCTTCTGCCACCAGCCAGAGAAAACTCTCTGCTTTTAAAGGACTCATGTGATTAATTGGGCCATCAGCTAATTTCCCTTTCTTAAAGTCGACTGTGCCACATAACAACCTAATCACAGGAATATCTCATTATATTCACAAGCTCCACCCTCAGTCAAAGGGAAGGGGATTATACAAGAGTGAGGGTCATTGGGAGTCATCTTAGAATTGTGCCTACCACAGGCAGAATTGTCAAGAGCTCCATTCAGCTGCCTACCATTCTCAGGCCTTAGGCCTCATCTCCACCTCTTCTAGAACATAATTTTTGTGTGTGTGTGTGCTTTAGGTGAAGGTTTACAGAGCATATTAGTTTGTCATCAAACAATACACATATTGTTTTGCGACATTGGTTGCCAACCCTGCAACGTGTAAATACTCTCCCCTTCTCAACCTTTCGCCATTTCCATTCGTCTAGCTTTCCTGTCCCTTCCTGCCTTCACGTCCTTGCCCCTGAGCCAGTGTACCCATTTAATCTTGTATACATGGTTGAGCTATGTGTATTATTGTTTGTTTCATGGGCCTGTCTAATCTTTGGCTCAAGGGTGAACCTCAGGAGTGACTTCAGTACTAAGTCAAAAGGGTGTCCAGGGGCCATACTCTCAGGGTTTCTCCGGTCTTTGTCAGACCAGTAAGTCTGATCATTTTTTGTGAATTAGAATTTTGTTCTACATTTTTCTCCAGTTCTGTCCAGGACCCTCTATTGTGATCCCTGTCAGAGCAGTCTGTGGTGGTAGCTGGGCACCATCTACTTGTGCTGGACTCAGTCTGGTGGAGGCTGTGGTAGTTGTGCTCCATTAGTCTTTTGGACTAATCTTTCCCTTGTGTCTTTGGTTTTCTTCAATCTTCCTTGCTCCAGATAGGATGGGACCAGCAGATGTATCTTAGATGGCCACTTACAAGCTTTTAAGACCCCAGATGCTACTCACCAAATTCAGATATAGAACATTTTCTTTATAAACTGTGTTATGCCAATTGAGCTAGACATCCACTGGGGCCATTGTCCCCAGCCCTCAGCCCAGTAACTTGGTACCTAAGGGAGTTTTGGATGTGTCTATGAAGCCTCTATGGCTTTGCCTTGGTCATATTGTGCTGACTTTCCCAGTATTGTGTACTGTTTTACCCTTCACCAAATTTACCACTTATCTATTGTCTAGTTAATGTTTTTCCCTCCGTAATTTTTTCTAATACCCTCATAGACCATCCAACTTCAGCTCCTGCCCACTGCTCTGCCTTTAAGTTCCCTTTTCATTTTCAGTATCTGAGATTTTCCTTTTCTTGCTTTTAAGATTGGCATGTATTTAAACATATGTTTTTGTTATATTGTAACTAGTATGTTTATATGTTTGGAATTATTGGGGTTTCTTCCCTTAGCATGTGCCAACCATATATTCCAGAATTTTCATGTTATAAGTATATATTCCAAGATTACAGAGTCTATTAAAGTAAGTGGGCCCTTGGAGTTCTAACCTCGTGAGTAGCCACCAGAGTAAGAATGAATTACTGGTTAATCAGTTTGAAAACTTACTGATATGCCCAGATCTAGGGGGATAGTTCCTCCTTTTGCATTAACTTTGCTTACTCTGTTCCTGGGAAAGCTAAGATGAGTGAAAAACAAGGACAGTAAACTGCTGTATGCTTCTGAGACCTGAATCTTTTCTGATGAAATGGGCAGAAAGGATAGTCTTCTTAACTGATTTCTCTTGTCCAAATGCATATTATTTTCAAGTAGTTTGCCACTACTAAAATTATATTTATTCAACTACTCTTTCTAATCTGCAAGTAGTTTTCAAAGTTGTTATGATGCCTTTCTTCAGATGCGGCCGAGCAATATTTCCAAGAGAGCATGGCTAATCTGAAAGACTCTGGAGAGATGGGAAGAGCTAAATTTCTTTTAATTCAAGATGAATTTTGCCATTTCCTGAAAATCACTGGACAAGAAGAGGTGAGTTTGGATCAAAATTGACTAGTTATTAATGTGGGTGACTCCTTCACTCTGCAAACCTCTATTAAGCACCCTCTATGGAGCCCTGGTGGCACAGTGGTTAACAGCTCAGCTGCTAACCAAAAGTTTGGCAGTTTGAATCCACCAGCTGCTCCTTGGAAACCCTATGGGGCAGTTCTACTCTGTCCTAGAGGGTCGCTATGAGTTGGAATCGACTCGATAGCAACGGATTTGGTTTGGTCTTTTTGGTATGTACAAGGCAGAGTTCCTGGGTAGTGCCAACAGTTGTCATATTTGACTGCTAACTGAAAGGCTAGTGGTTCGAGTCCACCCAGAGGCACTTGAGAAGAAAAGCCTGGCGATCTATTTTCGAAAATTCAGCCACTGAAAACCCTATGGAGACAGTTCTACTCTGACACCCATGCGGTCACCATGAGTTGGAATTAACTTGACGACTGGCTTTAGTGCAAGGCATGTGCTAAGCTCTCAAGGGACCCAGGTAAATAAAGTCAAGTGGCTGCTCTCAGGCAGCTCCTAGCTAGTTGTTCTTAGGAAACTGGAAAACTGATTATGAGAATGTAAATATCATGTCCACCTAGAGAACTTGAGGACCCAGTGAGAGATTTTGCTTACCACCAGCCTGCAGTTCTGGCTGGGAAAAGTATGGTAGTCAGTGGTTTCTGATTCTTCTCTCCTTATTTCAGTAATGGTGGAATTTACATAGGTGGGATTTACATATCTCATGAGAACTGTGCAGAGCAGAAGTTACAGCTCACTGTCTTACTGTTCAACCATATAGGCATTACTCAGAAGGGACTCTAAACCAGAGTTTATATTCACTGGTAATTAAGCCCTTGGGAATTCCATGCAAAACCTAACTTTCAAGATGGGCATGTATTTAAAATATCAGAGAGCTACATACTGTGACTCAATTTACATATATTTCTTTCAACTCTGATGTATCAGGGCAAATCTTTGAGATTAAAAACTTATTTCCCTCTTGTTTTGTAGACTTCTTCTTCCACAGCCGGCTCCTGCCTCAAATGGTGTGTGTTTAAGGAACACAAACTAATCTAGACACATCCATGTTCCTCAGACCAGAGTAGGGCTAAAACAACCATAACAATTTGTGTTTCAGCATTTTTTTGCTTCACTCAACCAACTAGAGAGGGACCTTCCGGGGGGCCCAGTTCTTCCGCACATATCTCTAGAAGTTATGACCTCTGTTCCAGCCACTTAATCCCACTTCAGGGTAGGGCCAGCTTTTGTTTCCTCTCCATGGAAAGCGCCTCCCTTTCCATCCTGTGGCTAATGCTTATCCATCCTTCCGGTCTCGCCAGCTTCCCTGTGTTCCCCAGTCTTAGTTAGATTCTCTCCATTATTTTTCCTCCTAGAATGTTGATTTGTACAATAATGCATTTGTAAGTATTTATGTATGTGCCTGTTTAATGCCTGTCTCCCAACCAGCCTGAGTTCCATGGGAACAGGGCTCAAGTGGAGGGAGTGACCGAGGTGGTGATGGTGGTGGGGAGTAGCTGTATGGGCACTAGGCTGTAGGCTGGCTGACTCCCACAGGGCATCCACCTTCCCCTTTCCTAATATGGCTTTCTACTGTCATGTTAGCTTCTGAGGCAACTGTCACAGTGTCACATGTGCTACATCTCACTGCTCCTACCCAAGCCACCCAAATCAGTGTGTTGATCTGATGGCGCTTCTCACTCTCCCAGGCTGCCTTCGGAGATGTTAGCAAACCAGCTGTTTTCATTCTAGGGCCACTGCCAACGCATAGCATTCCCTTGTAAGAATGGAAAATGCTGCCCCTTGCTTAGGTGGACGCAGCCTATGCCAGACAAGCACATTGCTTGGAGAGCAGGACATGGGCTGGATTTCAGTGTTCACTCATCTTCCTGCCAGGGCCCGTGTGCATGGCACAACCTGCCCAGCCACACAAGGTCACCTTGTACCACCCTCATCCTTTGGGCTCCAGACCTCTTGCCTTGGGTTCTAGCAGGAATCAGCCAACAGTGTTGGGCCATAGAACAGCATGGTCCGCCCTCGACTATTGCAGATGTGATCGCAAGCTACATGTGGGCTAGAACTCTGCTCCAGCAATCAGGAGATTTGGGGGGAATGTCCTAGTAGAAGCACTGGAGCAACACTCTGATAGAAATTAAAACAAAAATTTTATTGAAGGAATAATTTCATTACATGGAATGGAGAACATGTGGCGTTCAAACAGGCTGTAGTGCGTATTCTGCTTTATATGCAGAACATTGGGGTATTTAACAGGCAGAGTAAACACAGGCAGACAGTTGCACAGCAAAGCAAATGCAGGGGAAGGAAGGCAAATTTACAAGGGGTGGTTAAACTACAAACTTAACATCGATTTCTAGCCTAAGACAAATCTCTTACTCCTGATGCAATTTGACTAAGGCAGTATTCCTAAAATAAGATGTATAAACATTCTTGATGTGGAGGTTTAGTGATGGATTGCAGGCTGAGTCAACTTAATTGGAGTCCTTAAAATCTAAAATGGACCATTAATTAGGAAAGAATGAAGATTAAATCAGCTCTAAATCTAAAAGCTTTTTCTTCTCCTTTTTTAAAATTGTGCTTTAAATGAAAATTTACAGTTCAAGTTAGTTTCTCATACAAAACTTTGTACACACAATGCTGTGTGACCCTAGTTGCACTCCACATACTGTGACAGCACACTTCTCCTTTCTACCCTGGATTTCCCGTGTCCATTCAACCAGCTCCTGACCCTCTCTACCTTCTCATCTCACCTCCAGACAGGAGCTGCCCATTTAGACTCATGTATCTACTTGAACTAAGAAGCACACTCTTCACGAGTATCATTTTATGTCTTATGGTCCAGTCTAATCTATGTCTGAAGAGTTGGCTTTGGGAATGGTTTTAGTTTTTGGCTAATGGAGAGTCCAGGGGCCATGTCTTCCAGGGTCCCTCCAGTCTCGGTCAGACCATTAAGTCTGGTATTTTTACTAGAATTTGAGTTCTGCACCCCACTTTTCCCCTGCTCCATCAGGGACTCTGTTGCGTTCCCTGTCAGGGCGGTCATTGGTGGTAGCCGGGCACCATCTAGTTCTTCTGGTCTCAGGCTGATGGAGTCTGTGGTTTATGTGGCCCTTTCTGTTTCCTAGGCTAATACTTTCCTTGTATCTTTGGTGTTCTTCATTCTCCTTTACACCAGGTGGGTTGGGACCAATTGATGCATCTTACATGGCCACTCGCTAGGTTTTAAGACCCCAGACAACACTCACCAAAGTGGGATGCAGAACATTTTCTTAATAAACTTCATTATGCCAGTTGATCTAGATGTCCCCTGAAAGCATGGTCCCCAGACTCCTACCCCTGCTACTATGTCCCTTGAAGTGTTTGGTTGTATTCAGAAAACTTCTTAGCTTTTGGTTTAGTCCAGTTGTGCTGACTTCCCCTGTAGTGTGTGCCATCCTTCCCTTCACCTGAGATAATTCTCGTCTACTGGATCATATGGTACTTCTATTTCTAGCTTTTTAAGGAAGCACCAAATTGATTTCCAAAGTGGTTGTACCATTTTACATTCCCACCAACAGTGTATAAGTGTTTCAGTCTCTCCACAACCTCTCCAACATTTATTATTTTGTGTTTTTTGGGTTAATACTAGCCTTGTTGGGGTGACATGGTATCTCATTGTAGTTTTAATTTGCATTTTTCTAATGGCTAATGATTGTGAGCATTTCCTCATGTGTCTGTTAGCCGCCTGAATGTCTTCTTTGGTGAAGTGCCTGTTCATATCCTTTGCCCATTTCTTAATTGGGTAATTTGTCTTTTTGTTTTTGAGGTTTTGCAGTATCTTGTAGATTTTAGACATCAGACGCTGATCAGATTTGTTGTAGCCAAAAATTTTTTCCCAGTCTGTAAGTTGTCTTTTTACTCTTTTGGTGAAGTCTTTTGATGAACATGAGTGTTTGATTTTTAGGAGTTCCCAGTTATCTAGTTTCTCTTCTGGTGTTTGTGCATTGTTACTTATGGTTCGTATTGTGTTTATGCCATGTATTAGGGCTCCTACCATTGTCCCTATTTTTCCTTCCGTGATCTTTATTGTTTTAGATGTTATATTTAGGTCCTTGATCCATTTTGAGTTAGTTTTTGTGTACGGTGTGAGGTATGGGTTTTGTTTCAGTTTTCTGCAGATGGATATCCAGTTATGCCAGCACCATTTGTTAAAGAGACTGTCTTTTCCCCATTTAACGGACTTCGGGCCTTTGTCAAATATCAGCTGGTCATAGATGGATGAATTTATGTCTGGATTCTCAGCTCTGTTGCACTGGTCTGTGTATCTGTTGTTGTACCAGTACCAGGCTGTTTTGACTACCGTGGAGATATAATAGGTTCTAAAATCAGATAGTGTGAGGCCTCCTATTTTGTTCTTCTTCTTGAGTAATGCTTTACTTATCCGGGACCTCTTCCCTTTCCATATAAAGTTGGTGATTTGTTTCTCCATCTCCTTAAAAAAATGCCGTTGGAATTTGGATCAGGATTGCATTGTATCTGTAGATCGCTTTGGATAGAACTGACATTTTCACAATGTTGAGTCTTCCTATCCATGAGCAAGGTATGTTTTTCCACTTATGCAAGTCTCTTTTGGTTTCTTGCAGTAGTGTCTTGTAGTTTTCATCGTATAGGTCTTTTACGTCTGTGGTTAGATTTATTCCTAAGTGTTTTATCTTCTTGGGGTTTATTGTAAATGGTATTGATTTCCCCTTCAAAGTTGTCTTTGTTGGTGTAGAGGAATCCAAGTGCTTTTTGTATGTTCGTCTTGTATCTGAGACTTTGCTGAAATCTTCTATTAGTTCCAGTAGTTTTCTTATGGATTCTTTGGGGTTTTCTGTGTATAAGATCATATCATCTGCAAATAGAGATACTTTTACTTCTTCGCTACCAATTTAGTTGCCCTTTGTTTCTTTTTCTAGCCTAATTGCTCTGGCTAGGACCTCCAA